TGCAAAGCCATCGCCACTGCCGCGTCCTTGCTGGTGCTGCATGTCTTGGCGTGCATCACTGCAACTTCTGGAATCCCCAACCGCACCCACTTCTGCTGTAGCAAGCGAGATGTGGATTTACAACAGTGACACAGGCGCCTGCAGGATGAACTGTAAGAGCGTGGTAGGCTGTCAGCTTGTAAGTCCTATTAAGGATTTTAAACATCACAGGATAGGTGGTGGTTTGATGGCTATGGGTACTCAGGGTGACAGCAGGAGAAGATTCAGAGTTATTGCTGGCAACAAAAGCGATCAGACTTCCTACGCCGACAGCTACATAATATATAGCATATATATAAAAAAATCCTCTGGCACAGAAATCCAAACTAAGGACAGACAGCTTTCAGCACAAGATCTTCGGTTACATCATTTATAACAGTTTTCCTGTGAAACAATTCTGATCAGATCTGATGGATAACAAACCACACCAGTTAAGGAGGGACTGGTTTGCTTTCTGCCACAAAGGACAATTAACATGTGCCACTTTATTTGTACTTTCTGCCTGAACAGTGAGTATGCAAGTCCTATACAGGAATCCCCTTACTCTGAAGAAGATACCACATAGTTTCATCAGAATATCTTTGTTATGTCATCAATTTTAATTCCAACCTGTACTTCAATGTGCACATAACTATTTTCAAATACAGTGAAAACTTGAAGTCAACAGCATTGCAGCTTTCAGTAAATCCTTCACAACTTCAGAAAATCTCTATAAACATTGTGGAAAGTAGATACAGAATGTACAGAGGACAGTTTTCTATACAAAAGTGCATTTTAGTAATACAATTAGCAGAGAACCTGGGAAAAAAAAACCTCAATTTAAGCAGTACCATATACTCTAATCTACACCCCCATCTCTCCCCGAAAAATGGAAAAAAAAAAAGCAAAATCACAAAACCCCACTTTCCCCTTGCTTTGGTTATGAACTATCAAGGCTTCAACATTACAATTATATTTTTTTTAAAACTGAAGAATTTATTTGTAATTTGGAAATGTTTTAAAGTTAGCCATATGAGAGAGAATGCAAGTATGATTAATCAGAGTTAATAGTCAAAATAGATAAGCTTTGAACATTATTAGGATTTGCCCTGGGTAGATTAATAAACTATCTTTGCATGCAATCCTTCAATAGAAAATTGCATATTGACTTGTCTTCTCTATGCCCAAGAACCGCAAGATCAGTAAGCTAAGGAACATTAAACCAATAAATCTAACAACATTTGCCACAAAAATCTGGCTTATAAGAATAAACTTCAAGAGCCCCCCAAAACAGTCAGATTTATTAATATTTATAGACCATTGCATCAAATGATTTCAAAGCTGAAAGGGTGTTAGGAGAAAAGAAACTGCTTCAGGCCATTCAGCATAGATGAACAGTATATATTGCCATTTTTGTATGTTTCTATATTTTATATGCACTGTGATGTAAATGCATGTGAGTAAGTTCAAGCAGGTTGGCTGGTCTGTTTTTTCCCCAGAGAATGATCTTCACAAGTTTCAAAGCACAATATGAGAACTAGAAGTTAAACCTAGAAAACTCAACTTTTCCTGCTCTTCTCAGTAAGCACCCCATACTGAGCTGTATATGTATATATACATATAACCGTCTTTTAATCAGTTTCCCAAATAAAGAAAAATAGATAATATCTCAACAGAGACAAAAGATGACATGAGATACATACACAAAAATTAGACAGGTTTGTCAGGCAGCTAGCTCTCTTCCTCATATTTAAAATCGTATTAGAAAAGAATGTTCTATATTGTTTACAGTCCTATTGCAATCAGACTTTCAGTGCTCCTTCTAAGCCTTTTTAGGGAAAAAGTTACCACGGAAGCAAACCATTAACATTACAGAGCGTAAATTGATTACATTCATATTACAGTGGTCACAAAGCACCTAGATATACAGCTTCAGTACCATGGAGCCATACAACTACGAGCTTTTTCCTGTTTGTCTCTATTTTGCTTTTAAGCTTGACATTTTTTATCTGTGAATAAAAAGCAGAGATTCATTTCTTTTTTTAAAAAGTGCTAATAAAAATGCATGACTTTAGCAGTCTATTACTCTTCTTTATCTATCCGAACCCAATAATCTGCAGATAACTTCCTGTAAAACAAAGTGGTAGCCACAATGGCCAACACTCAAACCAGCAAGACCAGGTTTAACTAAAATTCCAACTGACTATTGTCGCGGGTATCCAATATAAATTCATAGAATCATTTAGGTTGGAAAAGACCTTTAAGATCATTGAGTCCAACCGTAAACCTAACACTGCCAAGTCCATCACTAAACCATGTCCCCAAGCACCACATCTACCTCCAGGAATGGAGACTCAACCACTTCCCTGGGTAAGCATACAGCATATTGCAAGGAAAGACAAGAATCTGACAAAAAAAACTCCCCCCTCCATGAAACGAGTGTGTCATTGGAACTAAGCAGGATGTGAAAGCAAAAAGAAAAAAAAAATCCCAAACATGTAGCAGTAAGTTAGATCTCTTGAATCCCACAGCTGCTTCGGCCCTGATTCTCTGAGATGCCAAGTACCCGGAAGGGACACATTCAGGTAAGACGTTACTCTGCATTCTTATCAGAACATTGAGAATTTAGTATTCTTAGGTTATAAGCACCCTGGTACTATGAGATTACAGAGCTATCAATTATTACCATGGAACCCCAGGAAATCCACTCTCTTCTATCGTTTTAATTGTCACACAAGTGACTGAAGCACCCAGCTGGAGACGACACACCACAATCAGCTACTGTGGCACCCAGGACCTTTTCACCCAGTGTAACAGATGAGCAAGTGGACCCATCTAATCACTTGAATTAACTTATACTTACATGCTCACACTAAGATCAAGATGGAAATACTATCCTCCCTTATTTCATCATCTCTGGAAGCTAGCAGACAGGTGACCAAAAAGCACTGTGCGTCATCAAAATGAGGGGGTCTTCTCTCAACAAAGCCAGAGGGATTTTTAAACTCTGAAGAGCTGCTGAAACAGAATAAAGTGACACACTTTCATGCTCCACCACACTGAGATATTGCACCTTTCTCACAACTCATTTCAGAGTCTCAATTCTCTACAGTACTAAGCGTGCATTTTTTTTTCAGAAAAAGTATCACATTTCAAAGTCACTGCAGAAAATAAAGGTTGTACTGAACTGTGACAGTACACAGTGAATGTTTCATGATGAATTCATCCATTACAGCCATGGTAAGTTGCAAGGGTTCAACAACTGCACCCTGAAATTAGCTGAATTGACAGCAATTCCATTTTTTTCTTCCATCCAAGATATTTAAAAGAAACTCCAGATTTAAATCAATCTAAATTCTCAGTAACTTCTATACAGTTAAGAGGTTTTTGGTATTGTTTCTACAGGAGGAAAGGAGGCACCAACCAGCTATAGCGCAGCACAAGCAAATACTGACACGTAACAGTAACTTCTGGTTAGTAGCCAAATAACTGGCCATACAGGATAGCTAACACGTGAGTTTACAATGACATTACATAGCTTTTAATCAGCCAGTGACCAAGTCTGGGTACCTGTTGTCTAGCAGCAGTAAGAGTGAATAAGTTCATACATACTAGATTGATTATGGACCTCATTTATTTATCACTGAAGCCCTTTCAGAGGCCACTGTTCAGTTATTTTACTGGTCAGTTTATTCTACAAGGAATGCCACTTCTGAAAGAAAAATAATTCAGCTGTTCAGGCTAGTAAGTCTGTGCAGGACATGCAAAACGAATGTAAGTAGTGCTATATGAACTTGATCATGCAACTCTGCAGGACTGGGCAATTGCAGGCACCTGCAAGAGCAAAACGAGCAAAATGAAGGTAATGAAGCATCAACATAATGCAGACTTACTTCCTACACTCAGAACTAGAAAATATTTCTAAATTTCTTTTAAATTTCACATGGGAAAAAAAAACAAAAAAAAAAATTTAGAAGTATCGTTTTTATCTCAGCTGTGGGGTAAAGGAGTTCCGTAACAAGTAGTTCCAAGATCAAGACAAAAGCTACCTTACAGATTGTCAGAATTAGAAAACAGGTTAAAACTACTTTTACCTCCCTACCAGAAAGCCACTATTTTTGTTCATTTTCTTAGCAAGAAAAATTTCAAAAGCAGATAGAAAACAAAAGGAGAATTCTGAAACATGTAATGGTGTAACAACCCACACAGAAGACACATCCTCAGCTAAACACACAATTAAAAAGCACAGCTGCATTAATTAAGTTCTCTTGCCAACAACATGAATCTATTTAGATATGCTTCCGGGGAAAAAAGTCACCAAAGCTGTGTGCCACTTGTTTGCACTTCTGTTTACAGCAGCATTTTTAACTACTGTAAGTAGTGTCCTAGGCAGCTTAACTGCAGATTAGTGTACTTTCAATGCATAAAGATGTTTTTATTTGAATCTTTTCATAGCAATACTAGGGATGTACTGGTCAACCGTTAGTAACAATCATACTATAAGATACTGAGCAGCAAAATAACCTTCTGAGGACTAAGCTTGGAAGTTTTTTTTTTTGAATTCTCATTGCTTCCTAAAGAACTACATTATCAGGCATTATTTGCATTACAGATTCCCTGCACTAGAAGTCCTGCTTCTTGTCTTCTGTACAGTGTGAGTTAAATCACAACTTCTAGAAAAGGATTTATCACAGTACTTTGATTTTGTATGATCCAAGAGAAAGGCTGAAGAAAGCCCTACAGAACTAAAGATTTTTTCCTTATGCTAAACAATCCTCCTAATAATAGGAAAGGAAGACAAACAAGCCAAGTGTAATATTAACTCTAAGTTGGAAAAAACAAAAAAGCTGAAGCATAGTAATGTATGCTTAGTGTCATCCAAGAGCACCCCTAGACTTAACGTCTTGCAAGTAAGCTAGCATTTTAGCCAAGTTCCAATTTCCTTAAAATTGTACCTATTCTGCAGCTTTTCAGAAGTCAGTTAAGTTTCTGAAGTCTTTGTTGCAAAATTACTCTCAAAAAGCTGAAGTTACTCAATACTTGGGCCTTCTTACCAAAATTACACTTGAGAAAAAATCTGATTTATATTGTTAACACTAATCAAAATTTGGTCAAGAAATATATGTAAACAATAAGGATAATACATTTAAGGCTTAGAAAGAACACTGATAAATTCACCCCTGTCACATTAAAACATCCACATCTCCTTCATGGTCCTCCTCAGTCACTTTTAAAGAGAGCACTTCTTCATTAAGAAATAATCCACTCAGTCTTTCCTTACGAGCTTGTCTTTGTTCTTTCAGCTGTCTCTTGCGTAAGGCCTTTTGCTGTAGTTTCCGTTGCTTGGAACGTTTCTGCCAAAATACAGAAGAAACAAAAGATAAGATTTTGTTCTGTAGATTGGAAACCACCTTTAAAGCTGGCAAATATAAGTTAACCTCTAAAATAATGTCTGTTCTGAAAAATAACTACATGAATTCTCAGAGATGGTGCAAAGATTCATCCAAAATTGTACCTACTATTAAAATATGAAAACCATTTACCACGTCTGAGTTATGAAGCATAACATCACCCTGTGACGTTGCATAGCTGTGTCTTTGATTGGAAGAATCTTTATTGCAGGGGAAATGTTAGTCTTACAATAAGAACCTGAGATGTCGAAGAGCAGGAACTACTCCTCTCCTCCACACTTGAAATTACGGAGACAGGACAAGTGCCACAGTACTACTTTAACTGAAACATGCTTCAGTAGGTCATTCCTCACCACATGTTGGAGGAATAAACTGAAGACTACTCAAAAAGCCTAACGAAACTTCTGGTCGGGAGCAACCACACAACCAAGACAGTCCTTACTACCCAGAAATTATGCATAGATTAGGTTGATCAATCTTCAGTAGATTTTTTTTGTAAAACTGTGTGTTCTTTCAAAGAATTAAGTTAGCTGCATAAGCCCTTATTCAACTGCCACTCACCTTATTCTAAAGAAAAGTAATGAGAAGGTCTACTACATACAAACATCAGGCTTTCACTTAGAACCGAAGTGATGTGAAGAGCACAAGCTTAAATTCCTTCTGGTCATGTCAGAGGAAACAGTCAGCATTGGTTTAGCTAGAGAACTTCAGCAGATGCCCAGTTACTAACCATGCTCCTTCACTACCAATAGCCCAGTGAAGATCACATAATCAACCTTAACAAGTTAGACAGCTTAATGCACGTGTACATAATTACAAACTTTACTTTTGAATCCCGGATTCTTTCTGCAGCACTTGTGGACAAATTACTGTCACTGTGCGCTCGACTCATGTTGGCACTCGAGTTTGAAGCGGAGTTAGCAACACTAGAGCCACTGCTGCTGGCTGAGCTGACCATGCTGGCGCTGCTGCTGCTGGCACTGGCACCACTCACACCACTGGTACTCGCACAGCTGTAGCTACTCCTCTTCCAGCTTTCCCTTGCAGAGCGTTGACGAGGTCCGTGTTCCTTGATATAGTTTCTCACCTTTAGAACAGAGGCAGCAGAATTACTAAAGCCTGATAAATACCATACTGAGATACTCCTTTTCATGGAAAAAAACACAATTTGCCTATTAACAGTGATCAAGTTATTGTATCAGTTCAGTTAGCCTTTTAAACCATTTTGCTGTGTCTGCTTAAATCCCAAGCCATCTAGAAGTCATCAAGCGAACTTAACTAAGTTAATATTAACTTCATTATGGAAGGAAGAGAACTAAGTTACAAGGTTTGGATTTTTTCCCCTCTCCTACACTCGAAGTTTTCTACTGCATAACAACAAGTCATTATTATAAAACCAAACAGGGATAGCGGTCAAGTTCAACTGAACTAAGTTGTTTACTTAATGTATCAAAATTCTTCATTTTGCTAGATATACTCAAACAGAAGTGGCTGTAAGGAAAGCAGTACTTTTCTACTTTCAGATGATACCTATAAAATGTTTGAAATATGAAATAGGCCAAGCCCGTAAAAGCATGTTTTCCATTTTCAATCTTTACCTTCATCTTAATCACAAATACAGAGTAACACTGAGGAGTTCAGATTGTTTGGATACTACATCTTTTCCCAACAACACACCACAACAGAACAAAGACTAAAACAACAGTAGCATGAATCTACCAGACCAACCAGGTACCTTTGTTATAAACTGTATTTTGTAACATCTCTATAATGCATTGTTCTGTATTCCTTTTTACATGAAATTTATGGTCTTCCCCAACAAATTCCACTCCCTTGGAGTTTCGAAAGCTAGTTTATATTCAGCAAGCAAATGAAGATCCTCAACGAGCTGATGGTCATGTAGTGGAATAAGCTTTTGTCATAACCAGTACTGGGCCCACAGCGTAACTCGTTACACACATGTCAGCTTAGGCCTAACACATACTGAGAATATATAACCACAGTCTTTCATATAAAGTTTTAATACATCCAATATGTTTTTAAACTGTATTTTCCCTCATTGACAATATTGTGCTCTAGTGCATCTCCCTGTATCTAATGACTACGTATAAAAAATTGGTCACAACTCCAAAAGCGATTTTGCAAGACATATCAGATGCCGAAACCCCAAAGTCATACACACAGACCTTAACTCACCTGTTTCAGTTTTTCATCTGTGAGACAGTTCAATTCAATAATGAATTCACTATCGGTAGGTGAGATCTGAGCAGTAGGATCAATAATTTTAATAATATCAAGTTGCTCTCGAAGGCCCATCTCTGTACTGACTTTGCGACTCAAATACTCAATATATTCAACCTAGGACCCAAAGAGAGGCAGGTCATTTTAAAGTACTATTGATTCTAAATGAGTGACGGAAAAAAAGAAAGACCAGTGGAATAAAATGTGCTCAAATATCACATTTCCTACAATTCTAGCCTCATTCAGTATCCTCAGAAACTCAGGGTAAAAACATGAGTGCACGTTAGACTGCCTAGTGCAGATCCACAGGACAAGATTTAGTTTCAAGAATCAAGCAGTACTGCATAGGTCTACATTTACATGTACAGCAATCAGTATGTCTCCTAAGATGTGGCACTAATTAAAAGATCTTCTGCATATTATAGTTCTTACATAGGAAAAAAAGTCAACTTCACCTGTTCATCATTTGTCATTGCACTCCATGGAAGTTCATCGAGATTCCTATGCTTGTTTTTCTTTTTCGGAAGCAGACAAGGAGAGCTTGGAATACTAGGTATAACATCAGAAAGCACATCACTCCCACTTGTAATGTCGCTGCCAGGCAACTTGTAATATACAAGAGAAAGAACAAAGCCTTAGAATACAGCAGGCAGATTTAAAGTCATTCTAACACTATTAACAATTCAAAACAAACCGTCAAATTAGCAAAGCATCACTTATCTATGTACTATAATGACTTCTTAGTAATTACTCACAACCCTGCAGTACTCCTTTGAATCTTCCAACAAACAGCAAGTGCAGCAGACTCAATTCACTCTTCTCTACTTATCAATCCTCTTTTTAAAAAATTGCAGTTCAGAAAACAGCAGAACGATGTGGCATTTCAACCATTTCCCCTCTCCATCAGTGTAAATGGTCCATTACAACCCAAACCCAAATCTAAACCTCCCATTTTAAAGCCAAGTCTAGTTTAAGGAGGATCATTTCAAAGTAGGTTTGTAATTTATACCATACCCCATAATTACACAAGACAATTCAATTAAAATCACTGTCACTTTCCTGGAAGCAACTTCAGAACTTTAGCTGGCTTCATTTATACAACTGACGTGTAATTTCTGAATGCACTTCCAGTCAGTGTGACAGCTGGATTACTCATGCCCAGATTCTGCCAGATAGCACCACTAAGAGCTACAAAAAAGTCTTTCCAAAATTCTGCAAGTCCAATCAAGTATGTCTCTTAAGAAATGTTTTTTTAAAAAACAAAAAATTTTAAAAAGCTAGTTACTAATCAAACATGCTATCAGCTAACTGAGACATGGGAAATTGCTTCTTTTCAAAACAAATCACTGAGTTTATCAGGCACTGAACACTTCACAGCTCAGTGAAGCTCCGAATCTTTGGGATCCAATCTGAGTTGTTCTACAGGTTGCATTATACACACGCACTTGCAACTTCTCTGATACAATATACATAGAAACTAGTAGTTAGACTACTCAGTTCACGGTATCTTAAGTTCATTTGCATCTTCTGGAACAGGATTTGTGCTTTCTTCAAATCGGTGGTTTCAGTCCTTACACTGCACTTAGGAGACTCTGTATAAGCTTTGACTAAGCTTTATGACAAAATTTAGAAGTATTCCTCAGTATATTCTGAAGCACCATGTATCCTATTTCAAAATTATGTATGTGTTTGCAGTTGATTTAAGTCTAAAATATATAAAAAGATTTGCATATCACTATTGAAAAATTGCTGAAGACCGACAACTACCATGAACTAGAGATACCTGACCAGGACTGCATCCAGTACAGACTGGGAAAAGGAGGACATGATTCACCTTCACACTTCTCCCATCCTGGTGAGACAAAGTGAGCTCTGTACTCTTACTGGCACAGAAAAAAAGACAGAAATAGGCTATGGCAAGAGCTTCCACACTTCACCTAGGTGCCAGCTCCACTCCAAAGGAAGATTTAACATGGCCAAATTACTGGAAGCAGACATCTGTAACCAGATTTCATTAGCAGGGCAGATCCTCGGTACAAGGGATCTAAGCTCATGGCTACAAGACACATGTTGGTCACTGAAACCAAACTACCATAATATGTAAACATCCCTCTTTGAAGAGCTGACCTTCAGTCTCTCCTACAGATTAAGAACTCTGAAATAAAATGGAACAAAGCATTCCCTTTATCGCTGAAGATTCAGATATCTGCTCTTACGTTCAACAGTTACAAGACACAAACGCTGAGGATTTTTCAATTAAAGCTAAACCCAGGAGTTAACAGTCTATACACAATTATACATTTACAGTGGAACTAGTTTACCTGCCATTCAAACTCACTGTCTGACCAATCCCAGTACGTGCTGATAGAAGAAGAGACATCACTGCAGACACTGCCCTCGGGGAACAAATCGAAAGAGGTGAACTCCTGGTCATCCAACAGAGAGTAACAGTCATCCTGATCACCAACTGACACCGATGAGAACAGCTCCTCACTGCACTCTGAGCTGGCTACGCTGGTTCCACAAGACGTCAAGTTCCACCTGCAAACCGGGACAAAACAAATAGAAAGCTGCAAAGATATTGGCATCATGTATCCTGAAAAATGCTTATTTCTTTTAAGCCTCGTAAAACTATCTCCACATTGCTTGTCAGGAACACGATACATTGATTTTATTGAAATGTTATAATTATGTAAACTGAAGTATTCTATTTTGAAGTATTTTTAAAGGTCCATAAACACACCAGAAGGAATTCAACATTAAACATGGCAAGGCAAAAATCCATATACAGTTAGTATAATTACACCTTTATTTTAATATATTAACAGTTTCCACCCCAGAGCCATGATTCTTGTAGTGCATAAATTGTCTTTTTTTGTTGTTGTCGGTTGGTTGTTTTTTAAAATACACGGAACTAATAATACTATTTCCCATATGCTGGGATATTTAAACTTCCATGTAAACTGAAATAAACAAAACTAAGAAGTAAATCAATTGGGCTTCAGGACAAATAGGAGTCAAAAAGAAATTCTACGTTGATAATCCCACACAAAAATAAGACTTAATAAGGAAACACATTATGGATATACGTAAGCCTTCACTATTCATTACTTTCAACTCTGAATGCCAAAAATATCAGAAATGCTGTTGGAATGAGACAGTGCAAGGTGGGAAAACAACCTGTGTGAAAATGCTACCACACCAAAACTACACGTTATTTTCCCTTCATAATTTCATTTAAAAAGCTAGTTAATGCTGTTGCAATTGAGAAAGTAATTGAGGACTCAGACTTCACAGAACAGGTTTTTTACTCTAATGAGAGTAAGGCAGAATTTAACAAGCTCATGAAATCAGTCTCCGTATCTGGATTTATTTTACATATTGGTGAAAAGTAGGTCGAGACAACTATGAGTCAGCACAGCACTGCAATGTGGCCAAAACAATTTGAAAAGAACTTCTAAAATTCACCACACAAACTCACGCAATCAATTCCTGTTCCATCAGCCTATCCACCTCAGCCTGGCTAACTGGAAAAACACTCCTCTACCCAGCTGCAAAAGCTGAGCAACGCCATCTCCCAGCAAGGCTGGTGGTCCTCGCTGTCGTTATTTAAGCTGCATACCAGGTTGGCTAAATGTGTTAGATGTGGGAGTAAGTCCATCACAATTTGGCCAGCAGTAAATTTATCCAATGTTAAAGACATTTTAAAAACTTTTCTTTCAACAAACTCTGGAGATCTTGCCTTCCCTCCCTTATACATGGACAATGTTTTACTGGTACAGACTTTTGCTGTCAGGGCAATTAACTGGTAGCCAATAGAATATGAGTGTGGTGACACAGCATGCTTTGAACATTACTACAGTTTCAGTGTCCATGAAACATCGATGAAAGGAAAGACAGAGTGGACAAAGTTTCCAGACCCATCAAAGCACAGGATGGGGTACAGGGCTTTACCACCAACCGCTATGCACAGATCCTCCAGGTACAAAGCATCACTGCAGGTACAGGCAGGCAGCCCTCACCTTCCCATACCCAGGGAGGCTGCTGTACTTGCTGGGGTGAACTGGATTAACAAGAAGTGGGAACTACATCACAATTACTCGCAACTTTAAAAAATAGAAAGCCTTACGCGAACACCACAGATTGAGCCGTGCATCTGCAACGGCCTAATCAGTGCAAGACATGGCACGTCCTTCCCCAAAGCAGTGAAATACCCACTCAGGATGCCTCGGTTACAAACCTGGGTTTGTAAAGCGAGCAAGCCTGAGGAACACATGCAGGAAGTGAACGGCAACACAAAGACAAACATAAAAAATTAATTAAATGCAAATTTGGTGAATATCACATACTTATCTCACAGACATGCTATGAATACACCTTACTGCTCAGGTCACAACTGGGTCTTACGATGTAAGAACTAGATCATGGAAGCGTATCATATTTGATCAAGGCTCTTCACACTGTATCATTTAAGAATCTATAATTAAGAGCTTGCCCTTGTGAATTTCACTTTTAAAGTGCAATTTCCATTATTTCATACAAATTCCATTGAAAGATTACCTTCTCATTCACTCTTCATGGTGTAGCAGAAACACAAAAAAACAGTAAAAGCATCTCGCAACTCTGGAACAGTAACTACAACTATCTCACACTTATGTTCAAGACCGAAATCTCACAAATTGTTCTCAAAAAAAAGCTATAGCTATATTCAAGCTTAATACTATACATAAACAGCAGCAGAATTAGGTTCTTAAGTAAGCAGGACTGCTGGGGTTTGACTTTCTAAGCACAACTGGAATTTCTTTGTAGAGCTGCATTTGCAATTTTAGACCAGGCATTTTCCACGAATTACAGACAGAATAATTCGCGCTTAGTTAGTAGCATGCGATGGAAATGTTTCTGCAGGAATCGGTGCAGTCACCAGCCGCCTGACTCATCCCGAACCTCCGCAGGTTTGCTCGGCGTCCACGCCAGGCCTGCTTTTAATGAACACAAACACACCACGTGTGAGCGTGAGCCTCCTGCAGCGCCCAGAGCGGCGGCTGGAGAAATTCGGAGAGCAGCAAGCACCCCTCACAAACCGATCGGCCACCGCGGCGGCAG